GTCAGCACCACGCTCTCCCAAGTGAGCTAACCGGCCATCCCCATATAGGGATCCGAACCCGTGCCCTTGGTCTTATCAGCCGCACACTCTCCCAAGTGAGCCATGGGCTTGGTTCTGATGGCTTTCCCCCACCCCGCACTGGGCAATAAATCCAACATTTTTTTCCTCTCCATTTCTACATCCAATGGTGATATTTTATAGGCTAGCTTCTAAACCAATGCAAATTTTAAAAAAATGATGAAAGCATTTTGCTCTGGAATACTATTGTTTGCCTACCATATAGGTTGACAGCAGATACTAGTTTGCCAAGCTTCAGATGGCAGAATGCTAAGTTGTGAGTTCAGTATTGTCCAGCCAGTTGTTCTTCCTTGCCTTGGAGACTCTAGTGGTATGTGCTGTTGACAGACCATCTTGTAGCCACCACTTGTCTTCTCACATTGAATCCACTATGGTAGAACATTCATGTCCTTAAGATGCAAGGCCTAGTAAAAAGCCTCCCACAAATCCACTGGATATCACAATGTTCTATTTGATAAATTCTGTTGCTTCTTCAATTACATTGTTGATTTCACGTGCTGCTTTATGTGCTCATTTCTTAATCTGTCTTTTTGCTTTGTTTACTTTTTTGACTCCCTTCCAGTTAATCTGCACATAGCCACTGTGACTGGCAATCTGAAGGAGAAGAAAGCCACCACCCACTGCAGTTGCTGCAAGTTTTCCAACTTTCTGGAACAAAAATCCCACACACCAGCCAGTCGTGCCACCCATTACAATCTGGGTAGCTACTGAGTGTTTTTCTACCATAGGTCCTGAACTGTGGCCAAACACTCAATTCCACCAGTGGTGTCTTCTCGCATACTCAGTTAAATCCAACACTTCATAAGAGTCATCATCGCTTTCATATTCTTTGGGAGGCGGGTCCTGGGTGGCCACGATACCGCCGGCGGCCTGTTCTGGGGTGGTCCTGGCTTTAAAGGAGAGCAGTTGGGTCTCTTGCTGCTGCAACGCGAGTGGGAGCACCAGGAGCCCGGGCTCAGAGCAAGACACCTCGGATTGTTTTAAGAAGATGGCAGACAAGCTGGACTTGGGGGAAATCGCCAGCTTCAATAAGACCAAGCTGAAGAAAACTAAGATGCAGAAGAACACCCTGCCAGCCAAAGAGACCATTGAGCAGGAGAAGCGGAGTTAAATCTCTTAAGAGCCAGGAAGATTCCCCACCCCCATCATCTCCGAGCCCCCATTTGTGGTATGGGGGAAGAGCCACCTGCAAGAGGGACATGAGCCACAAGCTGCACTGTGGACCCGGGCACTCCACACCAATGCCACCAGCTTGTGGGTCTCTGAGGGGACCCCCAACTGGACTGCCAAATTCTCCGGTTTCCCCTGGGATACTATAGAAAATTATTTGTTTGATTAATGAAAATAAAATATACCTCATGGCAAAAAAAAAAA